AAAAATCTACCCCCTATTTCTTTCATTCTCTCTTCAAGCACAGACTCCCCATAAACATGGCTCGACCGAGAGCCTCCACCACACGCCCCTAACACTGCGTCGATCGTCAAAATGGTGACCCCACCACCGCGAAGATGAATCCCAAAGCCGCACTCTCCTCACCTTCTTTCTATATGCTCGACTGGAACATCAAAAACCATTTTAGCATTCGACCGACCGCCCTACCCTCTCAAAAACACGCCAAAAGTCAGCCACACACGTTCCGACCACCATCATCGGTGGTCTATTTTCCTAAAAACAAACCCGAGACCACTCTAAAACCCCCAAAAGCGACGCTTTAAAGTCTCGATTTGGGATTGAACCTCCAAAACCCGAGGTCTAAATGCTCAAGCCTACCCTTCAACGCTCCTACTCCGAGATCCGAGGCTCCGACGAGGATCTTGACGAAGGTAAACTTCTCATCCTCTCCCTCTTTTCTACTGTTTGTTTCCATTACAAGCATGCTCGAAAAATGAAAGGAGAAAAAACGAGAAATGAAGAAATAAAAATCATCGTTCGAACGAACCTCCTTTTTTGTTACATATATTTCGAAAAATATCGAAGGGCAGGACCCCTTTACAATATGTTTTTGGGGTCTTTATAACCCATTCTAAATTACATTTTTTTGGTTGCGTGTGATTGCTAATGAGTTGGTGAGCTGATGGAATGGGGATGGCATGGAGTATGAGTGTGGCAGTGTATGGGAGGGTTCGTGATCAGCTACAACCGGGGCATGGGCAGCATCAACTTTGCTCGACTTCTTAAGCTTCTTTTTGTATTATTATAATAATGTAATAATAATAAACATATATATGGTGAAAAAAATTGGTGATTACAATAATAATAATAATAATAATAATAATAATAATAAAGAACGGGCGAAAATTGGTTACTACAATTATAGCTAATATTTTCTATTTGAAATTTGATGTATTTATTTAGATAGGTTGTTAAATGTAATAAAAATAAAATTTTCAAGTAAATTGATTTTATTTTACTCACTCTTACAATTTAATTTTTTTTAACACATATTATTAGAGACCCAATTTTCATATTTGCTCAGGCTATTAAAATCTCAAAAACAGACATGTATGCGTACCTGAAAGTTTGTAACGTTATAGCCTTATCAAAGTTACCCTATTGTTTGGATGTCTTCCCGAAGATGATGTGTGGTCCGAATATCTTTCGACATTATTGTAACTGCTATACTAGATCAAAAAACAATCCAATTCAAACGAAAGGATTTTTTTCCCATCACATTATAAAAAAAAATTGTCGCATCCTCTTATTAAAATAATGTCTTATAATTTAAAAATTCTTGTTGCTCCGCCTTCACGCCTCTAAATAGGTGTGTTTATCGAGCGAGTCGATCATGAGTTGGGCAGTGCATGATTCGTGCTTGTTAAAAGTTTTTGTTGTTCGACTCGACTTGTTGCTCGTTAAGCTCGTTAAAATTTGTTTGATTCGTGCTCGTTAAAAAAATTATTGCTTCACTCGACTCATTGCTCGTTAAGCTCATTAAAATTTTACTCGACCCATGCTCATTAAAATCCTTGTTGATCAACTCGACTCTTTTCTTGTTAAGTTCACCAGAATTTTTACTTTACTTTTTTTAACTATAGGTAAAATCTACTAATACTATATAGAGATTAGTATAAATATAAATTAACAAATTTAAACAAAAAAATTATTAAAAGAGTGTAGGAAGTAATTTCAATGTCTAAACTCTATAGTAACAATCCACAAATACACCACACTAGTAAATTAGTAAATTAACATATTAGTAAATTAATTAGCAATGTACCATCTTTCTTATTGTCTATTAGTAAATTAGTAATTATTATTTAGAATTTTATTGTTTAATGGAATAATTTTTAAGGTAATTATTAAAAATATTTAACAAACTACTTGCGAACTTGTCGAGTCGAGTTGAATCTTGCTCGACTCAACTCGTTACGATCTCAAGTCAAGTTCGAGTTCGAATCAAGTCAACTCAAATCAAATATTTACCGAATTTTGATCGAACCGAGATCAAATAGCTCACAAACCCTATAAGTAAATGCTAGTTTAAGTATAAAATATCTTGGGTAAGCTCAATGGACCTATTTTGTGGATTTGTCATTTGGGACCTCCATGCTTGCTCCTAATGGGTTGTTAGTGACACTGCACAACTAGTCCTTTGCACTAAGAAGATACAAATAGGGTTGAATAACGGAATCGAAAAAATTGTAAATTGATTTAAATAAAATTATATGATTTGATTTAATTTAATTTAAGTTTTTCATTTTGTGGTTAGATTTTAATTTAGTTTAAGTATATAATTTTACAATTCGAATCTGTCTCGTTTTTTTTCTATGAAATTCGTTTATTCTAAATTAAACAAAATTAAAAAAGGAAAAAAGAAAACTTAAATTCTTTTCAAATTTTTATAAATCAAACTTAAATAAATAAACTCTTAAAATTAATAATATTATTTTTTTTTAACTTTAAATTTGTGTTTGCACTTTAGTTTAAGCTTGAGATTTACTTTTCTAGATGTTGAGTTTGAAAAATGATAATCATACTAAATGAAATTTTTTAATTTTTATATCATTTGATTTCGGTTTTAGTTTCATTTCTAAAAAACTATATAGTATAATTTGATTAACCTTTTATTAAAAAATCTAACTCAATACTCCCCTGTGTCACTTTTTCCTCTGTACTAGATCCAATTTATCATTTTCCCCCTTATAGTATTTTCGCATCAATTTAACCCTTAAAATTGTTTAATTATACCATTGTATACCTTAACTCTAACTTAAAACCCTAAATCTTAAACCCTAAACCTTAAACCTTAAACCTTAAACCTTAAACCTTAAACCATAACTCTAACCCTAACCCATAAACTCTAAACTCTAACTTAAAACACTAAACAATAGTAAAACTTTTAAATATTGATGCAATTGAGCAACTTCGAGGACTAAATTGATGCGAAAATATTATAGAGGCGAAAATAATAAATTGAATATACTACAGGGACAAAAGTGATCCTTAATCCTATAGTTTATTACCCTCAATCATGAATTGTAGAGCTGAAATTAGCAAATTCAAACAACCCAATCTCATGGTGAAATGCATCCAGCATCAAAGCACATGAGCAGGACTTGATTCAATCAAAAAAAACAAAAGGTATATGCTTTGATGGCATATGTTAAAGCACAAACGATCTTTATGGACTAATTTGAAGATAAAAATGGCTCAACATCGCAAAAATGATGTCCATTTACAGTTTAGTCAGCAGGCACAAAGTTTATAGGAAACAACAGCAGTCGGCTGATGTATGGAAAGCTATATATGAACAAACATGATGTTATCAAATGAAGTTTCTTACTTCATACTCACTTGGGCAGTACTCTTTTGCTTTTTATAATTGGTAAAGTTTGATGAAAACGAAATTAGATGCTTTTTCTTCGTTCCTATCGCGGTTATGGTTCTTATCGATAATATTAGAGGATATCTAAACCAAAATCAGCTTATATCAATGTGTGTATATATCAAGGAAAATTCTACGGTATACGTGGTATACCGAAACACATCACTAATTAAATTGTTCTTTAAGTAAATAATAAAAGAGTAAACTACACATTTAGTAAATAAATTATCACTTTTGTTTCGTTTAGTACCTAAACTTTATTTTTTTCTGAAATCATACATAATGTTTAGTTTAAGTTTCAATTTGATACACCGCCGTTAAAAACTTAAAGGCAATGTTGATTATTCATATGTTTCAAACTCGTTCTTTTCTATTAAAACAATCGTCTAAACGTTAACCTGTTGACTGATATATGAAAAATTATATTTTAATGATGTTTACTGGCACCGCCGTTGCGTTTAAGCATTTGCTCGATGACATAATGTAAACGGAGATTCGATTCAAAAATATAGTCCAAACGGTTCTATGATCAAATTTTATCATATCCTAGTCAACAAGTTAACGTCTAGCTCAAACGATCACCGATTTTTTAATAGAAAATGACGAGTTTAGAATATATGAATAGTCAAGTGACAATTTCATGATTTTTAATAGTTGGGACTCAACAAAACAAAGTACTATAGTCTAAGAAACATTTTATAACTTTTAATAATCAAGGGATTCAACAAAACAACACCATATAGTAAAGGCAATATTTTTGTATTCTATCCATATATGTATAAATATATTGTTCGTGATTTAAATTTAGTTTCACTTAGCACGAACCCCAATGATATTAGTAGCAAAGGAATTGTTGTTATTCCTTGAGGTCTCGGGTATGAGCGTTTAATGTCAAAGGGTTAAAAGTTATCTTTGAACATATACTACCTTATACTTATCCCAAATTAATAAAAAAATTTAAAACGAACCAAAACTAATAGTTTAGGTACTATATGCATAGTTTACCCTAATTTTAAATGATTTGATACATATAAGCTTAAATCAATATATAAGATTTTAACGTATGCACACGGTCTACATTATCCCCTTGATTCTGCAACCATTCTTTCTTTCCTGCAGTTTCTGTTAAAGGTATAAAAGAAGGGTTTCTTAGGAGCAGCCGCAGAAATAAATAACACGTATATCTAGTATTTATTTATGTAATAATAATCAGTAAATATCCTTAAAGAAATGAAGAAGAAAGGGAAATGCATAGGGTAGTTGCTGTTGATTGTTGAGCTGGTAGAAGGTGACGATAGCAGCATGTCTTTTAAGGGCCATTAGAGGGTAATTAATCAATAATAATTACTTTTGATCAATAATTTAATGATATGGAAAAGGAATATATGCATAAACAAATCATAACGGATGAGGAAAGAAGAAAAATGGGGAGTTGGATACAGCAAGGCATGTAGATTTGGACCCCATTAAAAAGTATTATGTATATATAGAAAGTATGTGGAATTATAATCAAAGTCGATTGTATTTCATTGGAAATTCCCCTTTCTACTTCTTTCCTGCCCCACCTGCAACCTTTTTTGTTTTTGTTTTCAACCCTTTGATTGTTAAGCTAAGTATCAGTAGATGCCAAATAAAAGAAGGGTTTTTTTCCTGTTTTGTTTAAAATAAACAGTGATCATCATAAGTTTCTTGTTTAGGGTATCTTTGTTGGGGAATCTAAGGTGAGTTGTCCATCGAAATCTAGTAAGTTTTTCAAAGAAGAAAAGCTTCATGTTGTTTGATGTGATTGGTTTCAGTCCATAAATATATTTTGTCAACCAACGGCTCCTTTGTCTCCTCTTTTTCCAGTGTATTTTCATCTCTCCAGTGGGGTTTAGCCTGTGTGCTCCATGTCTGAATCAGGGTTGAACAAGATGGCATTTGAAACCAATACCAATGGTATGAGGTTTGGTCATGGTGGCGACACAACTTACACCAAGATCTTCGTCGGAGGTTTAGCTTGGGAAACTAAAAGAGATACCTTGAAACGTTATTTTGAGCAGTTCGGCGAGATCATTGAAGCTGTTGTTATCAACGATAAAGTCAGCGGAAAATCTAAAGGCTATGGCTTTGTAAGCCCCTTCTCTATCTCTTTCTCCTCTTTTTTGTTTTCGTTTTTGAAATTTTCAACTTATGGCATGTTGCAGGTAACGTATAAGGATTCTGATTCAGCGTTCAGGGCTTGTTATAATCCGTTTCCTGTGATTGATGGAAGAAGAGCAAACTGTAATCTCGCAGCTTTTGGCGCTCACAAGAATAGTCCTACTTCAGCCTCTCAGTCTCACCATGGTATTTGTTAATTTTCAACAGATGATTGCTTCTGCATATGTGTGTGTGTTTATATATATTGCTTGTTAAGTTTTACATTTGATTGGTAAAAAAGATGTTACAGTGATGGAGAAATTTAGCCCTCCACCACCTCAAGTGATGGCCCCTTCAACGACCGGCACTCCGGCATTTTACCGTCAGCTCATCCCGCAGTACGCATTTCCTTACGGGTTAGATCCAATTCTCAGCAAACCATGCATGATTTACTAGAGTTTTGATTTTCTGAGTGCTTTTCCTTTTAACATTCAGGTATCCTGGTTACTCCCACATGTATCCACTGGTTAGTCTCTCTTATTAAAATCTGTGGGGTTCAACTGAAATCTATACGAAATGCTTGGTGTTTGTGTTTAATCATTAATTAGTGATTTTGCAGAACTATTACAATGTATATGGAGGGCAACAGCTGCCATCCCATTACACAACTGGGACATCTGGAGTCCACCTAAGTTACTTCCCCATGTATCCTCCCCAGTATCCCAAACACCGAGCATTTGTGACCTTAACGCTTTCACCGGCATCCTCTCCGCCATTGGTCACAGCCACCGGTTGAGTTATCTACAATTTTTATTTGCATCAATATACATAGTGGTTGATATAATGTCTGATGGTAAAAACTGGGTTTACAAATGCAATACAGGTGCAGCAGTTGAAGAAGTCACCGGAGCTGCCTCTGCACAAAGTTCATCAGTGTAATGCCAATTACTCTCTAAAAGCAGAAAAGAGAAGGAAAGGGATTTTACATTTTATTTTTTTTATATAAAAAAATCATACTTCTAATATGAGGAACATTCAAGACATAATGATAGAAAATAGATAGTCGAAGCCATTATTAGGTTTGGTATTTAGATATATTCTTTTGTTTTTGTGAAATAAAAAGAGACTGGGCCTTTGAATAACAGAGAAGGTAGTTGAATCAACTGGACTATATATTATTATATAACTAGTTGCTTTAGTGGGAAGATATATTATATCCCTTAAACCAAGTCAAAGTTCGAATCTTAGTATTTACAAATGGAGCAAACTAAATTGAGAGAGTTACCCTTGCCATTCTAGTACCCTATCCAAACTAAATCACAAATGAATTCATCGTAGGAAATTTTATTATGTAAAAGGCAATAGTAGGTGTGAAAGGCAAAGTTTTGTGTTGCTTAGCTTGTGAGTTCATCTTCCAGTCATGGAGTCCTTGTCTGGCTGTCGTATGTATAAAGACAAGAAAAAGTATGCCCAATTCTCAATTTTTTAAGGTAAACTACACGTTTAACACCTATTATTGATACTTTTTCAATGATAATGTGACATTAATTTATGGTAACATGTCAACATTACTATTAACTTTCTAACGATTGGTGATCAAAATAAAACTACAACTAAACGGTAGATATAATTTTGAAAAAAATAATAGGTGAATCACCAAAACGGAACAAAAGTGATAATTGAGATACTAAACGTGTAGTTTACCCTTTTTTTATTAAACAACCGGGGTTAACGAAGTATGTGGAACAGCCCAGACTAATGCACTACTGCATATTTGATTATCAAGTTATTTACTTCAAATATTTTCCATTCAACACTGAATCAGGAAAATGCACTACTTCATAATGTATATCCGCATCTGAAATTGCGATCATCGGATCCAAGATATATCAATAAAGTCTTATCGGTCGTTATATGTACCCCGAGCACCCCGAGCAATCTATCTTTGTGTGCATTGTCATATGCTACAACATAAAATTAACATTCATCTCCTCAAAATCACATCCAACTCTACAGGCTAAACAAAATAGTTGCAACTAACCCATATGAGTGATAAAGATGCCAAGACGCAGCATCAAGACATAACATTAATACCAGAAGTACCTCGGACTATACTGCTGTCTTTGTATGTATGCAAGGGTGATTCACATCATTGCAGGGTAAAGCGTACAGGGTCGATCAGGCGTCTTTGATGGGCTTACCCTGTAAATGAAACATCCAAATATGAGCACATACGATTAGGAAAGAATTTGAATTTCACAACCAAAATGAAGAATGTAAAACATTAGCTTGAACAAAAAAGGCCTACAGACAAACCTTATGGGCAGTGATCCCAGAACTGCACCACTGCAGTTGAGGATTGCGATAGCACTTTCAGCCTGCAGTGAGGAAAAATAAAGCATAAAGATCATCCTTGTATGTAAAATCGAATCAAATTTACTAGTTCACAAATGAAGACAACAGAATGAGACAGTCCAGCCAACAAAGTTTCAGCAGTAATTCAATAGCAATCACGAGGAAAATTCACAGAATATATTTCTCCATCCAAAACTACAAAATGTCAAATTTCCATTTTTTGAGAAATGTTTGTGGGAATTATTCCCATGAAACAGCTACAAAAATTTTGGGGGCTAATGACGCCAAAAGCTTCGGTTAATAATGGGATGGATTGGTTAGGGTAGCACATAGCTTAGAGCTTCAAGCACAGTTTAACTATGGTACTCTAAATATGCAGCAAACATGAAACAACAGTCAGAAATCACCAAGCAGATTAAATCAAATACAAAATCAAGCTACTATGACCTTATTCACACTTTGGTCACCAAGTTCTAGTTAGAACAGTTCCAAATAACCAAAGTCAAAAAGGAAAGTGAGTTAACTTGTGTTCTAACAGCAACAGATAATAACATCTTGTACAAGTAGTTCAACTCCTTGGGTAAAAATAAAACATACCAATGAATGAGTATGATGCAATTAATGGCTGCCTAATTTATACGACACTAGACAACTTTATAGGTTGATGTTTCCGGCATTAAAGACAAAAGGTTTTATGGAGAGGCGCTCTTATCACGAAACAAAAGAAGTACAATGTCGTGATTGCATCCTCTGACTAGGTTTGTCAACAATTACCTTCCAACAACACTACATATAGTCATTAAGATTCAAGTGAGCTGCAGCACACATTCCCTCCTTGGTCCTAGGTAGAACTCATAATAGTTTATGAAAGCTGGACGAATCGAGGCCTACTAAATGCAGAAAACATTTATCGGTAAGACAAAAAAACCCTCATTTCCCTCAGTCAACTGCAGATAAGGGAAGGTTTCATTGACTAGGTTCATTGTCCTTCACCACACACTTCAACACAAATTACGGGCACAAACTCCTCATTTTTGAACTCATACAATCAACAATTCACGGACCAGCATGCAATAAAATAGATGCTTAAATATCTTCACCACAGTCAGTCTTGAAGACTCTGAAAGTGAAAGGTGTCAATGGGAAGATCTGAATGACTTGTAGAAATTATACCTTTTACACTACAATTCTCCTAAATCAACTTGCGCAGTCATTGGCAATTTATTCCCTACATAGTTTACATCCCCCAAACCAATTAAAGTAACACAATCAAGAATCAAGAAAAACAGAGATGTGATGAAACCAAAAAAGAAGAAAATAAACGGGATCTCTCCTAAAGAGTTTGACCAATTCAATTCATCCACTAAATACTTCAGCTCAATGAACCCCATGGAGAAATGGTTAAGGCTTGGAATACCAGAGAAAGCATGTGTGCTAACTTACCAATGTAAAGAAGTGGCTATACCATGTTGCAAGGGGATAAGGCCATGTTATTTTCCATCTTTAGAATTACTAAGCTTTTAAGTTTTTTTTTTTTAAATGGAAATGTATGATGACAAAAGCACCTACACTTAGCTATGGGTAGTAACAGAACAGCCTAATTCATCATGTGAAACTAAAGCTTTAAGGGCATAAGCCGCGACATTATGCTGAATGCTCACAACTAGTGAAAGAACGTTACAGGTAATTTAACCTGATGCCATAAAAATAGATGTTGCAACAGTTTTGGTAAATAAAGATAGAAAGAGGGTAACTACCATTTCGAACTCAACAAAACCAATACGAGTTGAATGATGATAGTCTCCCAATAGCCTCAAGCGTTTAACCTACCATAAAGCAAGCATGTTTGGTATGAAATCATCAAATATGTTAAATATAAGACAAGCAGCAGGCGGGTCACATGAAACTATTGACCTCCCCACAAACTGATCCTAAGAAAAGCTTGATGTCGGCCTGAGTAATCTGTATAAATTGAACAAATAAGACAAGAATTACTTCTCTGCTTGCTAATCACTGTATCACACAGGCATTCAAGATAAATAATGGACGAGATGAATTACCTTATTGTCTATGTTTGTACAGTAAATGGTCCTTGTGCGCATTTCACGCTCATCCATTATGTATATGCTTTACCCTGGGTAAAAGGTGCAATTGCAGTCTTGGAAGGCAGCACTTTTAGAGGATAATAACCAAGCATGGTTCCAGACAAATTCAAAGAAGCCCTTGCATCCTCTACAAGAACATCGATAGTCAATGCTATAAATTGAGGGCAGATATCAGCGCTGACATAATGCAACAGACTTCCATAATACCTTCTTTATAGAACTCGACAAAAGCAAAGCCGAGAACAGAATTAGGATCACCGCATATACGACAATCAACAACCTTTTCACCAAAATAACAGGAAGTTATTTTAGAGGCATAATCACCAGTACCAAGTTGGATATACAGAAATTTATTTATTAAGCGCGGGAAAGAAACAAGTACCGGTCCACAACTAAGAAAGAGATCCGCAAGAAGCTCCTTGGTAACCTATTCGATAGACATAATTAATCAGTAAGATATTACCGTATTAGGACATAAACAGAGTAAAACCGAGACAAAAACTAAAGTGTGAAGATATGTCACCTGTAGATTAATATCAGATACATAAACGGTCTTTCTAATTGAATCCTCTCGCTGGGCAATGCTCTTTCTATTGTTCAACCTTCTCTTCCCTTGGTTATAGTGATCTATTTTCTAAGAATGGAAGGAGAAAATAAAAAAAAATGTTTCTAAAGGAAAATAAATTTTATTTTGTTAATTGTAACAGAAAATAGCATACCCTTCTATTAGTATATCCATTGGCGTTGCCAGAATTAGAGTGCAACACAAAATTGTCAGTACTATATCCAAACCCATTTTCCAAGAAGTGATTACCTTGATTTTGGTGTTGATCATGCTCTTTACGACAATGATGATGATTGGCAAGGGAAGGCGATACAAATTCCTCAACCATGGGGTTAAGCTTACATAAAATCTCAACCAAATCACTCATCTCGTTCTTAGTAATCACATTCACATCAATACCCCCATTTTCCACTTTGCTAAACCCGTTAAGCCTACCAGTCTTCGTCACCATCTGTTGTCGATTCTTTTCATTAAACCCGTTGATGTTGGTGGTTGGTGTTGGATTTTCTTGTTCAAAGTTGGCTTCTTTAGTAGTCATAGCATCAGTCATGGTATTTTATTCTCAGAATCCTCTGTAAACAAACCAAAAATCAATCTTTACTGTTATGCCTTGTGTAATGATACAAAAAAATCCGATACCCATAATTTTTTTTCTTTTAAAAAAATATATAGTTGTTGTATTTGTTAGAAGAGCAACATACCTCCATCATCTAAATGGTTTCCATCGTTGAATATTAAGAAATTTTTGAAGAAAAGAACAAAGAACCAGATTGCAACTGGATGGAACATACGGATAAAGCAGACAACAAACCCTTCATTTTTTCCTGGGTATTATTACATAAATCATCACTTATCTATCATCTCACTTTTATTTTAATCATTCAAGTTTAAAAATTTTCAATTTGATAATATAACTTTTTCTATCACTTCTCGGTTAATTACTAACAAAGATAACATGACATTTTAAATTAATTTTTTTCCACTTTGATTTTTCAACTTTTTAATTTTCATATATTTTAAATGATACGTGTAATTCTCATATATTTTCTTCGAGTCACTGATGAAGTGATACGTGTAAGTATTGCTCTTATGATCC